TCTTCCTATAAGAGGCTTTACGAGAGCATTGTAAGGCTTAACTAATGACGCAGTTAACAAATCTGGTTTCGGATTAATTTCTAATTTACTTGAGTGCATCTTGAGGACATACCTGAAAAACGTAAGCTAAGGTTAAACGCTCTTTGCGGCTCTAAAAATTACTCTGTCCTCGATTATTGCTAGGAATTAAAAAGGTTACCTATATGTTGCGAATGACGTAATTCAAAGAAATACTGCCGATCCCATAACAAGCATATATTTGAATTTGTACTGCTATTATCTTCGGCTAGACTGCAGACTTGTTGAACGGAAATGCATCTGTTACATGACATAAAATTACGTACAAAGTTAACAAATCTACGAGACGAGTGGGATAAGAGCTTTTTGATTGAGCTCATTTATCCCTAGACTTAAGATTTCAAGAATACTTAAATCTAGTCCAGACAATTTTTCATTTTACATTGGAAATCTTCAGACCAATTAAAAAGCTTCAGAAACAACGTAAAAATTCTGCAATCCGATCTAAGCTTTCTCTCTTAAAAATTGGGTTTAATGTGCAATTGCACAACATGCACTTATGAGTGGATGAACAATACAAAGTACATCAGCAGATACTGACTTCTTTGCATAGTCACTGCAACCTTCTCAACTTGCATGCAAAACAATTTGAATCACGCGCGAATTTCTCGCAACTACTTAATTGCAAATAGTTCTTAGTCTCAATGGCGTTTGTTTCTCAGAAAACGAAATGCATGTGATACGATGTTTGCGGACACCTGCGAGCTGTTACATATTTGCACACAATTCTCAGTAAATTACGAGCACATTATCAAACTTTTACTGAACTCATTTGGAAAATTGTGCGTGTAAATCGCTGCAATTCGGATGATTCGACTGAACAAGGTATATACCTACGCGGAAAGGACGCAATTTTGCGTACTTTTGCTCTGTAGCCTACAGTAGATTCTATGAGATTATCAAAGAATTACTGAATTTGGTTTTTCACTAAAATCCCTTTATACTTCTTCAAATATCCAAATCTTTAGGCAATTATGCAAAATTACGTATTCCACTCTCAGTTTAGAGCCATCCTTATGACAATTTTGAAATTCATCAAAAAAGTCTAATAGATTGTTTCAGTCCCGTTCCTCTACCCTTCTCCCCCCTCTCCCCTTTCTCCCTTCCTTTCAGGCAACGATTTAATGGGGTAAGTCAAACTTGTGCTTCAGGTACAAAAATATGTGATAGCATGAACGTTTAGTTTGAAGTCTTATCTAGTTATTACACAAAGAACATTTAAAAAAAAACAATCAATAGATTTAGGTCTTCTCATTTGAAGCTTTTTAATAGAGCTACGGGCATAGTTAGCTTCAAAGGTGTAGTCCTTACTGATTTGTATCCAAAACCACAAAAGATACCCGTGATATGTATATGTTTTGTTCAAATGCTATGTCTAGCAAATTGAGAAAACAGAGTTATACATGGAATGCTGAAGAAGTGAAACATGCGGTTTGAGTTATAAATTCAATTGTAGTACTAATAACTACCTATCTTTTAAACTCAAACTCTGAAAGGGAGCTAAAAACTAAGATAAAGAAAGAGAAGAGAAGGAAACATGAATACGATTTTTCATCAAGTTATATTCCCAATACTACGGTAGACCATCGTTGAAGAGAGACTTTTACATATTCAGCCACTGCTTACCAAATTACCGTAACTAGACAGAAGGTAAGACGAATTTTAAGCGCGATGTTACATCAACTCAAAATTTTGTATTTTTTCGTTTTTCGTATACTGGTATTTTGCGCTGCCCCCT